ATAATTATGGGTGACTTCAACACACCGCTCTCGCCACTAGACAGATCCTCTAGACAAAAACTGAATAAAGAAACTATAGTACTCAGCAGCACAATCAATAACCTAGACTTAACCGACATATATAGAATATATCAACCATCATCAAGTGGATACACGTTCTTCTCAGCAGCACATGGATCCTACTCAAAGACAGACCATATATTATGCCATAGGGCAACTCTTAGTAAATATAAAGGCATGGAGATAATACCATGCACCATATCTGATCATCATGGAACGAAACTGGAAATCAATGATAAAAGAAGGAAGGAAAAATCCTACATCACATGGAAAATGAACAATATGCTACTGAATGATCAATGGGTTACAGAAGACATAAAGGAGGAGATAAAAAAAATTCTTAGAGACAAATGACAATACAGACACAACATACCGGAATCTATGGGACACAATGAGAGCAGTTTTAAGAGGGAAATTCATTTCTTGGAGTTATTTCCTCAAAAAAAGAAAAACACCAACAAATAAATGAACTCACACTACACCTCAAAAAACTAGAAAAGGAAGAGCAAAACAACAGCAAATGTAGTAGAAGACAAGAAATAATTAAAATTAGAGCAGAAATCAACAAAATTGAAACAAAAAAAAAAACCACTGAAAAAACTGATGAAACTAAAAGTTGGTTCTTTGAAAAATTAAATAAGATCGACAGACCCTTAGCCATGCTAACAAAGAGAAGAAGAGAGAGAACTCAAATTACTAACATATGGGATGAAAAAGGCAATATCACAACAGACACTACAGAAATACAGAAGATAATTAGAAAGTATTTTGAAACCCTATATTCCAATAAAATAGAAGATAGTGAAGATATCGATAAATTTCTTAAGTCATACCATCTGCCCAGATCGAGTCAGGAAGACAGACACAATTTAAACAGACCAATAACAAAGGAAGAAATAGAAGAAGCCATCAAAAGACTTCCAACCAAAAAAAGCCCAGGACCGGATGGGTATACAGAGGAGTTCTACAAAACCTTCAAAGAAGAATTAATACCAATACTTTTCAAGCTATTTCAAGAAATAGAAAAAGAAGGAGCTTTTCCAAATTCATTCGATGAGGCCAACATCACCCTGATCCCAAAACCAGACAAAGACACTTCAAAGAAAGAAAACTACAGACCAATATCTCTAATGAACTTGGATGCAAAAATTCTCAATAAAATCCTGGCGAATCGAATACAAAAGCATATCAAAAAAATTGTGCACCATGATCAAGTAGGATTCATCCCTGGGATGCAAGGCTGGTTCAATATACGGAAATCAATAAATGCTATTCACCACATCAATAGACTTAAAGACAAGAACCATATGATCATCTTGATAGATGCAGAAAAAGCATTCGACAAAGTACAGCATCCCGTTATGTTCAAAACACTAGAAAAATTAGGGATAACAGGAACTTACCTCAACATAGTAAAAGCTATATATGCTAAACCTCAGGCTGGCATCATCCTAAATGGAGAAAAACTGAAGGCATTCCCTCTAAAATCTGGAACAAGACAGGGATGCTCTCTATCACCACTTCTATTCAATTTAGTTCTTGAAATACTAGCCAGAGCAATTAGACAAAAGAAATTAAAGGCATAAAAATAGGAAAAGAAGAGCTTAAGTTATCACTATTTGCGGATGACATGATAATATATTTAACAGACCCAAAAGGGTCTACAAAGAAACTGCTAGAGTTAATAAATGAATTCAGCAAAATGGCAGGATATAAAATCAACACGCATAAATCAAAGGCATTCCTGTATATCAGGAACAAAACTTATGAAATGGAAATGAGGAAAACCACCCCATTCACAATATCCTCAAAGAAAATAAGATATTGGGAATCAACCTAACAAAAGAGGTGAAAGATTTATATAATGAAAACTACAGAACCCTAAAGAGAGAAATAGAAGAAGATCTTAGAAGATGGAAAAATGTACCTGTTCATGGATAGGCAGAACTAACATCATCAAAATGGCGATATTACCAAAAGTTCTCTATAGGTTTAATGCAATGCCAATCAAAATCCCAACGGCATTTCTTGTAGAAATAGAGAAGGCAATCATGAAATTCATATGGAAAAATAAAAGACCCAGAATAGCAAAAATAACTCTAAGCAGGAAGTGTGAATCAGGCGGTACAGCGATACCAGACTTCAAACTATACTACAGAGCAATAGTAACAAAAACAGCATGGTACTGGTACCAAAACAGGCGGGTGGACCAATGGTACAGAATAGAGGACACAGAAACCAATCCACAAAATTACAACTTTCTTATATTTGATAAAGGGGCCAAAAACATGCAATGGAGGAAGGATAGCATCTTCAACAAATGGTGCTGGGAAAACTGGAAATCCATATGCAACAAAATGAAACTGAATCCCTTTCTCTCGCCATGCACAAAAGTTAACTCAAAATGGATCAAGGAGCTAGATCTCAAATCAGAGACACTGCGTCTGATAGAAGAAAAAGTTGGCTACGATCTACATACTGTGGGGTCAGGCTCCAAATTCCTTAATTGGACGCCCATAGCCCAAGAGTTAATAACAAGAATCAACAAATGGGACTTACTCAAACTAAAAAGTTTTTTCTCAGCAAGAGAAACAATAAGAGAGGTAAATAGGGAGCCTACATCCTGGGAACAAATTTTTACCCCTCACACTTCAGATAGAGCCCTAATATCCAGAATATACAAAGAACTCAAAAAATTAAGACAATAAGATAACAAATAACCCAATCAACAAATGGGCCAAGGACCTGAACAGACACTTCACAGAGGAGGATATACAATCAATCAACAAGTACATGAAAAAATGCTCACCATCTCTAGCAGTCAGAGAAATGCAAATCAAAACCACCCTAAGATACCATCTCACTCCAGTAAGATTGGCAGCCATTATGAAGTCAAACAACAAGTGTTGGCGAGGATGTGGGGAAAAGGGTACACTTGTACATTGCTGGTGGGACTGAAAATTGGTGAGGCCAATTTGGAAAGCAGTATGGAGATTCCTGGGAAAGCTGGGAATGGATCCACCATTTGACCCAGCTATCGCCCTTCTCGGACTATTCCCTGAAGATCTTAAAAGAGCGTACTATAGGGATACTGCCACATCAATGATCATAGCGGCACAATTCACAATAGCTAGACTGTGGAACCAACCTAGATGCCCTTCAATAGATGAATGGATTAAAAAAATGTGGCATCTATACACAATGGAGTATTACGCAGCACTAAAAAATGACAAAATCATCGAATTTGCAGGGAAATGGATGGCATTAGAGCAGATTATGCTAAGCGAAGCTAGCCAATCCTTAAAAAACAAATGCCAAATGTCTTCTTTGATATAAAGAGAGCAACTAAGAACAGAACAGGGAGGAAGAGCATGAGGAAAAGATTAACATTAAACAAAGATGAGTGGGGGGAGAGAAGGAGAGAGAAGGGAAAGCATATGGAAATGGTAGGAGACCCTCAATGTTACACAAAATTACATATAAGAGGTTGTGAGGGGAAAGGGGGGGGGAAACAAGGGAGAGAATTGAACAACAGCAGATGAGGTAGAGATGGAAGATGGGAGGGGAGGGGAGGGGGGATAGTAGGGGATAGGAAAGGTAGCAGAATACAACAGTCACTAATATGGCATTATGTAAAAATGTGAGTGTGTAACCGATGTGATTCTGCAATTTGTATTTGGGGTAAAAATGGGAGTTCATAACCCAATTGAGTCAAATGTATGAAAGATGATATGTCATGAGCTTTGTAATGTTTTGAACAACCAATAAAAAAATAAAATAAAATACAAAATAAGCCTGGGGGAAAAAAATAAAATAAAATAAAATATAAAAGATCACAAATACTTAAAAAATCAAGTAATCGTATAAATTAATAAATATATATTCTTTTCTAATAGGAATTACTGCAATATGTAAAACAAAACTCCTTAAAACTTAATAAGTTTTTATTAATCTTGAAAAATTGAAAAAAATATATTTAATATTAACTTGATAGTATTTAAGATGGCTGCATTCAGTGAGTTTCAGAAGTTAATTCCTTTCTTTGATAAAAATAGTAATTGTCATTTTCTCTGAACTCCCTTATCCGCCCCACCCCTAGACTTTTTAGTGATGCTTTTTTTCCTATTCCATAAAGCACTAGCTGCCTACACTTCATATGGTATTTTATAAAGTAAAATCAGAATCAAGAAATTTTAAAGCAAAACCTTTCCCATAGGGTAGAAAGCTTACCAACTTTCAGAGTCACAAGTAATGTCAATATGAGTGTGTAATTAATTGGACCTGAGGACCACTCATTCTCCATGGGGTCAGAATGAGCTTCCACAAACAAAAGCAGTTTCTAAGAAAGCAAGCCCAACATGTAAGTTCTTTTCTAGCCTCTCCTACATTCACTCAATAAAGGCCCATTTCCCAAATCAAATCATATGGCCAAGCCTGAAGTCACTGCAACAAGGAACCACACAGGATGTGGGCATTTACTGGGAGATGTGATTCACTGGGGGGTCATCAGTGTAGCTGTCTACTACAATTCCCTCATATGGGCCAGATGTGCCTAAGATGGTCAGGGCCATAGTGGAAGATGGAATAAACAATGCACGAATCAGGTTAGGGGATCCTCTTTCGGGTTCTTCATCATGTAAGGATCTTAGAAATCAACACTCTGTCCTCATAACATATTAAAAAAAAAGGTAAACAAATTGAAAAATCAACAAGTCTTAGATTCAAAGAAACTGGATCCCAGGACCAATCCCTATTCCCCAAAATTAAAGAATCAGAAAGGCACATTCAGAAATTCCTAACTTCTTGGAATGGAAAACCCATGAGCAGAAGCTTCTTTGGGAAGCAGTACTGGCCTAGGAAACCCTGAACTAGAAGTGAACAATAGCTGGAAACTCAGTGTGGAAAGGCTGACACAGTCACCCAGGGCTCCTCATACTTACGTGAGTTTTACCTCCAGGATCTCAACCAGGATCTCACAGGGCACCAAAGCATTCTGTTCTTCTTGAGAAGTTTCAACCTTAGGAGAAACTATTTTACAAAAGAAAAGCCTACTGAAATTTCGTCAGACCGTAAATGACCCAAGATAAGGGAACTACCATACTCAAGCCTGCTCTAGCCCCACACCTGGAAGAAGAGACACACTCAACACCAGCGCCCACTGCTCTTCCATATGAGAGAGGAAAACATCCAACCACAGCTGCCTCCAGACATCTTGTCCCATGAGAGGGGGGAAAATGAGGAAACCGATGCAGCTCCTTTCAAGAGCCCACACTCACTAAAGACTGAGATATAATCCTAGGACCAAGAATACCTTCCCTCACCAATCAGGGGAAATACAAAGCAAAACTAAACAAATAACAAACATTCACATATTATACTCAAACAGCAGAAAATCAAAGGGTGGAGAAGTCTTTTTAAAAAGTCCTCTAGTAAAGAATGATGATTATCATGGTTTGGATCTAGGAGTGTCATCTCCAAACCACATGTGTTAGGTAATGCAGAATATTCAGAGGTGAAAAGATTGAATTATGAGATCTGTAAACCCTTATAGGCAGACTGCTCCTTTAGATGAACCACTGAGTGCTAACTGTAGACAGGTGGGTGTGGCGGGAGAAAGTAGGTCACTGGAGGTGTGTCTTTTGAGGGCATAATGTAACATTAAGAAACAGTATATCAGGCTACAGTGTGTGTTCTCATCATCTCTCTCTCTCCCTCCCTCCCTCCCTCCCTCCTTCCCTCTCTCTCTCTCCAAGAAACATTATGTCAGGCTCCAGTGTGTGTTCTCATTCATTCTTATTCTCATATTCTCTCTCTCTCTCTCTCTCCCTCCCTCTCCCTCTCCCTCTCCCCCTCCCTCCCTCCATCCATTTTATTTATTTATTTATTTGGATCAGAGATTGAACCCAGGGTGCCAAACCACTGAGCAACATCCTAATCCTCCTTTTATGTTTATTTTGACACAGGGTCTCACTAAATTGCTTAGGGCCCTGCTATGTTGCTGAGGCTGGCTTTGAACTTGCAATCCGTCTGCCCTCCTGACTCAGCCTCTGGGATTACAGGGATGTACCACCACACCTGGTTCTCTATACTTCTTGCCTGCCATGAGCTGAACAGCTTTCCTCTGCCATGCCCTTGCACCATGATGTTCTACCTCACCCTGGGCCCAGTGAAGGAGATGGCAGAACCCAAAATAAACTTTTCTTCCTCTAAGTTTTTCTTGTCAGGTTCAGAGAAAAGCTAATTAATATAGGGAATATATTTAATATTGTGTATTTCAAAATTGCTAAAAAGTAGAGTTTAAATTTTCTTAGAAAAAAGTAATAAGTATGTGAAGCAATGGGGAGGAAATATTAATTGACCTGACATACTATATCATAACATTACATTTGGCCCATTGTGCCCTATAAGTATGTGTGATTACTTGTCAATTAAAATCAGTATAATCAATGAGCCTCTAGACAATATATTAAAGAAAAAAAAAAGAAGATATAAATGAGGAAGATCAGAAACTATTATTTCCAGGGCCAATATGGATTGCTATATATTCCAAACAGGTGATCACTCAGAGGTCTGCTAGGGCGCCCCTCCCTGGGCTGGGGTATCCTGATCAGAACCTCCATCTCCCCATAAACACGTGGCCCATGCTTCTCACTCCCTTGGAACCACAGTTACACAAACCACACAGGTGAATCTAACGTCCAGAAATCTATAAAATAATGTTGTGCCGGCCACAGTGAATAGGGATTAGAAAATGCTAAGCTCTCTCTAGGGAACATGGCTGGCACAGCCCTGCAGTCTGATCAGTTTTGTGCATTAGCTCTTCTCACCCTCATTCACTCTCATTATATCTACAGCTCTTCCTTCCCCCCTTTGTCCAGTACTAGAAATTGCTGCCATCTGCTCCCTCATGTTGTCACAATCTCTACCATTTGATGCTAACAAACATTTGACCACACAGACATCTCTCGGCTCAGGAATCCTACTGAAACTTTGCAAGCAAGACCATCCCACCACCCTTCTATATTCCTGCCATAATCTGCCGCTAGGAATACTTTACATACCTATCTCCATCATCAAGAAAAACTTCATAAGATGCACAAATTTCTTTTGTACACTGTGGTCCCTGGAGTGAAACTTTCCACATTCTAGGTCTATGACTTAGGCAAGTCACTCAGTGTCTCCAAACATCACTTCCTAAAATGAGAATAAATGTTAATAATATTGTAATGAAGAGGAAACAAGTTAAAATATTAAAATACATAATTCCTACTAGATGACTTTGATATTATCAGTTTTAATTTTCATTTTACTAGTATTACCAACTTAACTGGATAACTTTTATATTAAAATTGTTTTTATTTTTACTGCATGATTGCCAACACTTATTAAATAAAGTACACATAATTGTGATATATTGTTTCCAGAATTAAGCAATTCATTTTCTAGCACAAAAGCTAAAGTTTAATACACACTAGAGATTTACATTTCTGAGAAAAAAAGGAATATTCTTTCAAGTAATATCTCAAATTGTTTTTTGAACATGATATTTACCATGTTTCTACTAATTGGTGTTAAAGGACGGTTTTCTGTAATCCCAGTTACTGCTATTTTGACTGTGAACAAGCTACACTCACAGAGTTCTTCAAAACTGACTTTGTTCTCTCCACACTGCATAGGCACACCTGCTCCAGCCCTTGGGTGAAATCTAGGGACCCCATGGCTTAACTGCTTATGTTCAGATAAGGAAAAATCCACTGGTTCTCTCCAGGGGCAGAATGGGGTCTGGTTGCAGTAATTAACTCTGCCAGTCCCAGGTTCATAATCAAAACAGGACACTGCACTGAAACATGGAGTTTCTTTCTCAGGAACAGCCAGACTTACTGGAATCCTGCAGAGCCAGTCCAGCAAACCGCAGGTAGACTTCTCCCTTCGCATTTGGTACACCTACCTCTTCCACCAGATGGGCCTAGTGATCTTGTCTCTGACCACATCAAGTCCAGCATCTACCCTGGAGTAAAAGAGCAAGAAAATATCACTTGATGGGTGCTGCTCTTCCCTGTGCCCACAAGGATTCTATCTGAACTAGACATGCGTTCAGAGGGGACTCCTTCATGGGCATTCCCCGGGGTTTCCTGGGCCTCGCTCTTGTAATTCCTCTGGCTGGTCCTCACAGCTTTCCACCTGGGCCACCTCATCAAGTAGTACCCTTGCTGTCACCCCCTCTTTCCCCACCCCAGGGCTCTCAAGCTGTGGTCTAACTTTGGACCCTGTGGAGGGAAAGCAGTTATTCCAAAGGCAGCCTCTTCTTGTTTCTGAGTACTACAGCTCTCCACTCCCAGATGGCTCAAAGATGGTCAGAAAATAGTGTTTGAGTTCTCCCAAATGCCAGAAGGAACACAGGCTGGTTCTCACAGCTGGTTCCTAGATGGGAACTGTTTGAAGAAAAACTGAGAAAACTTAATTTAGCAAAGCTTGCCTAAAGAAAGACAAAGAAAAGAAAAAAAGGTTCTAGCACAAGATTGTACTTGGGACCCAAATCGATTAACCCTACCACCTCTGCAGATTACACTCACCACCAGAGAAAAGGAAGTGCCATACCAGAAATCATCTGATTGGCTGCAGTCAGCATTTCTGACCATATGCGCATGCTCAGATTAGTCCATAGCACATGATTGTCTAAGGTGCATTGCTGTGATTGGCAGAGACTTAGTTGCTTGGTTACAAGCCAATTCCTACCATTATGTACAGTTATAGTTTATTTGTCTGTTATAGTACACCATGTACAGAGGTCATTTTGGGACAAACTTTATTACCCAAGTACAGTGACAGGTTTAGGACAAATTTATTTTAGTTTTATAATAAGCCTCATTTCGTCTACAATTGGCACAAAGGATCTGCTTGATTTCAGGACAGACTTTACAATTTCACAATGCAAATTAGTTAGATGAGCCAGACATGGTGGTTCATGCCTATAACCCTAGCGAGTCAGAAAGCTGAGGAGGATCACAAGTTCCAGGCCAGTCTCAGCAACTTAAGAGACGGAAAGCAACTTCACAAGACTCTAGCAAGAAATAAAAAAAAATAAAAAGGACCAGGGCTATGGTTTGACGGTAAAGCATGCCTGGGTTCAATCTCTAGTACTGTTCTCCCAAAAATGTTAGATGGCTCTTAGGTTTTACATTTTTGTTATGCCTACAATAACAAGACCACTGGATGTGCCAAGACAGCAGTGCATGAGTATATAAACTGAGAACAAAGAGGAACATGTCAGGAGGAAAAAGACAGAAATACATTCTTTCACAGACTGCTCCATGAACCAAATGAACCAAAGGCCAACAATTCAAGGTTTAGCCATTAGAGGTGGTTTTGAAATAGGATAGAAGAAATAAGGATAGGTAGAAAGGAAAAGAACAGGGAAGGGAGATAAACTGTAACTTTAAATGAGAGCTCCATGAACATCATCATCTTAACTCCCCAAGTTTGTTTTCCTCTGGACATAAATTTGTTTAAAGTTCCTAACATCTTGGAATATTGCATGTCCAGATAACTACTGCCTATGTGCACTGCTAGGTTACACAGTATATTTTCTTTAGCCTAAATAAAGCCAAGAGAAAAAAATTGTAGAGACCTATGATATGAGTATGTTCCAAACATTATCTATGACTAAATATTGTCAATCTAAAGATCATGACAACTAGACCATAGTGAAGCACCCTGTTCTGCATGATTAAGAACCTTGAGCTCACCAGGCTGGACCACTCCCACCTACTTCTCACATTTACTGTTTACAGAGTCCCCATTAAAAAAAGACCCCAAAGCATGTCTATTCCTGAGATGGCCCACATTCTCTGTTCCTGGAAGTGTGTATTCCTTGCTTTCCCAAATAAATAATTTCTGTTTATGACTCTTTCTGACACATCCTGAAATTCTTTTCTCTGGTATAAACAAAGAACCTACCAGGGTTGGGTTGAGGTCCGCTTCTTCTGAGGGACCTCTTCAGACCCCTATCAGGTAACAATTTAACAGCATCTCAGTACCACTGGTCACATCTGGCATTTGATGGTGATCAAGGACCATCATGTGCTGCAAAGTAGTGTTATCTAGACAGGTGTTCAACTTTGCATTCAGTCTATCAGCACAAGTCCTAGTGATATGAAGACCCATTTGGGCAAAACTAGGCTTGCCAACCAGTACTGAGGATGCGGCAAGCCAGATGTTAGCAATTCCCACAAACAAACCAGGTGCAGGAAAGATAGGAGAGAATTGATGGAGTCATAAGCCTAAAATGAGAAACTAGGAAGGAGCACAGAAAAGATTCCTGCTACCAGAATAAGTTTCCAGTCTCCCCTTTGTGGTTTCTCTACCCTCCCACTTTCTTTTGTGTTTTATAATACTGGAGTGTGAGCTTATACTTGGAGGCATTTTATCTGTGAGAACCCTGTGATGCTGCGCTAAGGAGGAGGGCAGACCCTCAGTAAGAATATCTTATAATTCTATGACATGCTGATGGTGCTACCAACCTGTGGCCATGGTAATTTAATTCTAAGACCAATTATGTATTGCTAATTTGCATTAAAAATCTATTTAAGGGCACATCTATAGACATGAAGTTTCAGACTTAATTTTTTCTATCTCATGTACTAACTGGAAGATTTGTCCTTGTTCACCTTTTCATTGGCTTTGTAGCCTTTTGAAACCTACAACTGTAGGGAGAATTTTGAGTTCTATATGTCCCTTTTATGGACCCAAGAACTTTTCTAGTTTCCCTCATGTGGTCACTTAAGGATTTATGGGGTTAAAAAACAACTCAAGATCAGCCATGGACACTCAGTTTAATTTTAAGAAGGCTGACATTTCATTTCCACTGAATGTAGAACATTAATCTGGTATTTGATTTTGTTTAAGTAGAAAAATAAAATAGACATAATTGTTCATAGGTAAATTGAAATAACCATCTTGATATTTTAGGCCTCAGGTAAACGACAACATATACAAAAAAGCTCATTCTTTAACTTCTTGGAGAATACTTTATTCTTCTTATTGTACTTATCTTGTCTAATATCTGCCTAAGGCACATAGTTTAAGCAATAAAACATTGCAATTTGCACAGAGAAAGCATGTGGAAATCACTATTCATTCCAGTCAGCATCACAGTTGCAGTGATATTGAGAATCAATGAAGTTCCCCCCCCAATCCACAAGTACCCTTTTGAGTATCAGGCAGGGAAGCTTCACAGTAAGTGTGTATTTCATTGGTTCTTCTAACCTACCACCTCACTGGGGTTCCATCTAAAAGACAAGTATAATAAAGGTGAGACCTATTTGGTCCCCCACTGCCTGCCTCCCCATATCATTGCTTTACTCCCTTCTATGTAAAATATAGACTATTTTAGAAATGATCAAAATTTTAACTCTGAAACAGCATACTTTTTAATGTTTAAAAAAATTTTAATATTGAGACTTAAGTTACCTTGTTTTTTTTTTCTTTTATTAGAATATAAACAAAGAGTCTTTACTCATTCAGGCATGATACTTACAGATTTTACTTGAAGATTCCAATTATAGAATTTATTGGGAAATAGAATTCAAAATACAATTGTCACCAAAATAATCATCAGACTAATTTATACACTGACCTAAAATCTGCTTGAGATCATAAAATGCCATGAAAAAAAAGTTATTATTCAAAATATGATTTCTTTTTCTTTTTTCATTAAAGTAACATTGATACTTCCTATTGTGTGTTAAAAATTCTTAGGGACACATGTTTGTGCCTTTTCTTCTACTAAATGGCTTGGCTCTTTATTTGGAAACTATGGAGATTAACCTCCTTCCTGCTGCAGGTGAATTTTGGGCTCCTAACTATTCAACCAAACATACCTCAGTCCTCCAGCACCACCTCCTCAGGGCCACCATAACTCAGCCACAGAGAAGGAGGCCACTTCAACTCTAAGGTCCTCACCTTGATGCTAAAGACACTGGCAATCCCCAGTCTAGGTGAGAGTGATGGTGACTATAAAGTGGATGGCTTACAGGTAGGAAGGGGGACTTCCCCCTCCACAGAGAAGCAAGATGAGAGGTAAAATGCAGGTGACATCAAATCAGTTAAAAAGATGCTTGTCCTTTTCAGCATGTCCTTTCAAACCCATCAGCTGTCACCATTAGACCACAACTGAGAATCTGGAATGGGACTCCTCTTCTCCCCAATGCACAGCAGCACTACTCATGATGGCTCCCTGTTAAAGAAGCCCTCTGCTTCTGCTGACAACACCACCAGCTTACAAACACACCAACCTCATTCATCACCACCCAGCCCTGGGCCAGTAGCTGAGGCATGTGCAAAGAATCAGTACCAACCACCTTTTTCCTTTGTTAAAATGTGCTGCAAATTTATCTCTAGGAAGCAGAAATTTCAACACATATTTCATAGATGTATTGAAATATGTGTTGAAATTTTAAAAACATAATTATTCAACATTTGCTCTTTCATAAATTTGAACAGCAAAGAAATTCTTACATATAAATGAACGATTTTGTGTTTATATTGGAGTTTATAATTTCACTTATAAATTAAGAATTAATGAATGCCGGGTTTCTGTTAGAAACTAAAATGCTCAGGGGTTACTCCAGGGGAACTGGGCTAACTGGGCTACGCAAAATAACCACACAAGAGACAGAAATACCTTTTTCTTCGAGGTTGCTGTGATGGCTCCTCTGACCTTAAGGGTCTGCAGAAAGAGAGACAGACAAGAGAGAGAGCGCGAGCCCCCACGCGCTGACCTCTTTTATTGAGGAGAAGCTATTCAAACGAGGCAACGGGTCAGGTTTCAGGGGGCTGCGTGTAGCTTCATGATGTCTGCTGTCAGCAGGTTGACTGACATTAGGTAGGCCATACCCAAGGGCACAGTAAGATAAGGGGACACACAAAAGGTGTTTCCATGGAACATTCTATCCCAAACAGGGCAAGGGGTGATATTACAAAGGGACAGGCGAGCACAGCTCCACCCTTGGGGCTACAGCAAGACACACCCATGCAGGACACTGTCCTTCGAACCCAAGAAGGGTGGGGCATCTAGGGACATCTGCCGCCTGAAGCCTCCATCACCCAGCTGGGGAGTGACTCGGTCACAGGCAAGGTTGGTCTCCCACAAATGGATATTTTTAAAGGTACACAATACTTTTGGCTCCATTCAAGATTTATTTCACCAACAGGATTTGTATAGGGAATGATTTAAAAAGATATCAAAAGGAATCAGAGGCAGAAATGAAGAGGAATAGGAAACGTATCAATGAACAAGGAATACTGCTCTACTTCCTCAAGTATTTTGGCCCTGGGTTGATTCTCTTCAGCCACAGGTACAGTACTCAGTAACCCTAGCATTCACAATGCGGTGACTAAATACTTCCCCACTGTGTCAAAGTTGTCACACTTCCTCTTCAGCCATCCATAGTTGTGTCCCTGAAACTCTAATACAGAGACCTGGAAGATGCTGGAAGACAGAAACTGTCTTTATAACACTGACATTTCCTACTGTGTGTTAAACATTACTTAGAGATACATGCTTATTCTTTTTCCTCTATGGCGTGGCTTGGCTCTTTATTTGGTACTATAAAGATTCACCTTCTTGGTGCCCAACCTTTTCTCCCCAGGCCAGCTGCAAAACCAAAAAAAAAGAAAAAGAAAAAATTGCTAACCTATGGCTCTGGTCTTGCTGCTCCTGAGTCTCCTCTTGTAATTTTTCAAGGTACCGGTTTTCCAGTACTTCCTGAGAATTTGTTTTCAAAAAAATTTCTGTAAATAAAATGGAACTGTATCTTGAATGTCACCTGCCCATCTACCCTGATGCTATTTGCTCCCTGTATCACAGTCATCCTGTGGTGCTCTCTCTGCAGCATCCTCAGGAAGGCTCCCGTTGAAGGCTTTGGTTGGCATTACTCCTTCTGCACAAGGGTAGCATCCACGCCCTGCACACCTATTTGCATCTATTGATGATAAAAAGCCAATTAGTGCAAGGATTTGAAGGAATTTTAGGCTACACTTGCTGCCTCTCTTATCTCCAGTTTAGAGCTTCTGGAGATACATGGGTCTGCAACCAAATTTGTTTGAATTAAGTGTCTACTAAAAATTCTCCAGAGATCACATGTAAGAAATTCATATATTTTGAGTATGTATGATGTACTTCCTTTATTTTCTTTAAAAAGTGTTTAACAAATTTGAAATTCTTTTTTTCTCCTAAGCTCAACAAAATACTTGGTTGTGTCACTCTTGTTGTTTTAAATATTTATATAGAAAGAGTGACAATCTGTTAAACAAACACTTGCAAATCACTAGGAACACAATGACCCTTCGTGCAGGAATCCTTTACCAATCTGGGCAATGTTTCGCTTCTGGAATAGACTACATGTTGGGGATACGTAAGTTTGACTCCCTGAGTCACTGAGTGATATTTTTTTTTCTTTCTGACTGTTATTGGTTAACTAATAGAAGAAAAAAAAAAACTACTCAATTTGCCTCATTTTCTCTAGTTAAATGACCTAACTTTGTGCTATAGCATTGATTTACTCTCCAGGAGCCAACTTTCTCATTGTTCTGGGGATATACAATCTTAAGTCAGTGATCTATGTGGTAGCAATTGACTAATAATAAGTACTAAGTTTCTCAGCACTAATTATAATTTCAATACACTGCAGAGTTATGAATAAGGAGCATTTACTTCACATGCTTTATAGATGCTGCATTAATAAATCTTAGAGAGATGGGTGTCTTACCTCTGAAGATTCAGAAAGATCCTAGGATACCCCAGCTGCTGAGTGACAGACTTGACATATGACCTCAGAGAACTCAGATCAGCATCCAGAAAACCAAAGAGGTTCACCAAGGCAGCAGGGTTGGACATAGTCACAAATCTAATGACTTCAAAGGAAGAAAATACAAAACTTCTAACAGAATTGTACAGGGTAGACTAAAAATAAACAAACAGCCATCCACAGAATTACCTGGAGTCCTGAAAGAACTGTACAACACCAACTCTGTTCTCTAATTAGCAATTATCCAAGACACTAATTGCACTCAGTCTGAGAGAGAATCTCATGGAATAATCACCTTCAAAAAACTAAGCCTTGCTGTTAGCAATCTTTTCTGAGATAAAACACAGTGAGGCATCACTGCCTCTCATAGTGCATGAACACTGCATTCCAAGGGCCTCATCAGGAGCTCTTTATTGCTCAGTTGCCCAAATGAGGCTGGGAAGAGACTTCAGACCCTTCACAGCTTTCAGCAAAGAGAAGCAACTATTGCCCTGGCTCTTTGTCCCCAGGGAAAAGCATTTCTGCACTTTCCAGGCTGTGACCTTGGTGCTGAGGATACAGGAGTCTCATGAATATGAGCTGCTTGGTGCAAGCTCCTGGGAACTAAAGTCTATAATGGCTGATGACGTACCAAGGTGAGCTGAAGGCCTTGACCTCCTGCGGTGGAAAGCCAGCTCCTGTTGGCAGTGGTCCCTCTGGGCAATTAGTGCCTGGAGTTGGTCCATGCTGACCACGTACTTAAAAATCATAGGCTGGGGGTTTTCTCCATGAGAGCTTTTGATTCTGGCCAGGTGGCAGCCATTGTGCTGCACTAAGTACATGCATGTTCTTATGGGCAGAAAGGGCCTGGAAGGGAGGAAACAGAACATGACTAGGCTGAAATGAGTCTGAACATCAGAGGCATCTCTTATCTGAATTAAGGTTTTTAATCATCAGATATCTTTGAGATTAAGATCAACATAACTAGAATTCTTAAGATATCAGTATTAAAATTTGAAATTTACATTACCATATATTTGCAGTAATTATCTTTGGTGAAATCTGACAATTTAGTCAACATTGCCAAAGGGTCCATTTCTGAATTTTTGTGATATAATACCACAAGTTATGAATATTTATCTTTTTGATAAGCATAGCCCTTTCTAAATTGAATATCTTTTTCCTGAGATAATCAAATATATGTACAACAGACACATTTGAGAAACAAAAAGCCTATATGATCATGAAACATAATATAAAATGATTCTTTTCAGGTCCTGAATTAAACTCAGGGTCTTGTGCATACTAGGAAAGTATTCTACCACTGAGCTACAGCCCCAGCCCTAAAATAAATATTTTTGACTAAAACTGACCAATAAGCTATCAGCAACTCATTCTGTGGTCAACACTAAAACACATGAGACATTTGACATCTAATATATCTATTCCGGGTAATAGCCATGGGGACACAAATGTCGGCTGACAAATTCTGACAGATTTGTTATAATACCTGTTTTTTTAATGAAGGAAACTAGAAAAAATTAAAATGCATTCCAAAATGTTTACAGAAGAAAAAACTTATGACTTCTCTCACTTCCCCCACAATTCATCTACAACATAAAGGTAAAAAAGTTTACATGATGTAAAGGGCCTATATTTCAGTGGTATAAAGGAGACTTGAAGTTGCCTTAACTTTTGTCTAGAACATCAAGTCATATGACCACCTCTCTATGTGAACTTGGTAAAATGATGAGTTTCTCTCTATATAGAAACATTCCAAATTACTGAAGACACAAAATAGCTGTGTAGAGTTTGTGCTGCTAAATGAACAAATGCAATGGTATGGCTTCTCCATGAACAAAATTAAAATATCAAAACAATATTGCCAGAAATCCCCTAAGAAGTCCCCACAGAACTCTGACCCTGCTGCGGGGACCTAATGGCTGGCTCATCTTCCATACCATGTAGCAAGGGACAAATCTGACAGCCACATTGCTGTTTTGTGTACACAGGCCTGAAATGCAGCAGAAAAAACCAGAAATCCAAGAACTCCAAGGACCAGGGAAAAGAACTCTGGCTCAAAGACTGTGAAGAGCAAGGTTATAAAATATCTCAAAACTAGCAAGAATCAGAACAAACTGAACTTGCAGAACTAATGTCCATTTTATATTCAATGGCATTAGGAAAAAAAAGACTTAAGAGGTCATCTCACTCTCTCTGTTGGCTAAAGGAGGCTATGAGCATTCCTACAGCCCCCTTGAAATCCATAGTTTGTTTTTTTCCTCTTTTAATCACATTTTCACTGGGCAATTTGTATTTCAACATTTTTATGAAAAATTACATAAGTGAGCTTGGCATTTATTTTCTGTGATTACCTACTCCACCCACAGAAGGATTTACCAGTGTAAAACAAAATAGGTACAAGATTGTGAGGCTTAGGAACTCATAAATTATGATGCCATACTCTCATTTATTTTCATGGTTTTTGACATAAAGAAAAATGATGTGCATGAACAGATCATGTAGGCTAGTGATCAGTGTGACAGATTCAGGGTCTTGCATGGTTAAAATATAAGAAAAGAAATCTCTTCCTTCAATTACAGAAGAGGAGAAGATTGAAAATAATCTCTCAAACTATTCTTCTGGAAAAAAAATCATAATTTAATGATTGCCCTTTATAATGAGATTATTTAAAAGATCCCAAGTAAGACACACCATTTCCACAACACATCACTTTCACAAATTTCAAAAAAAAAAATACTACCTATAAGAGAATTTTGAGATCACATAATTTGTCCTTAGCTTTCAAGGATGAACAAACAGATCAAAGAATTTAAGAGACTACCACCTTGGAACAACAAATAGCTGCTCTGTGGTTTGAACAGCAAATTAAAACTGAGGAAATTAATTTTAACTGTGGACAAAATTTTAAAGGATTTTTGAACTATCCTTAAATCCGACTACATGAAAACATGTTCCTCCAACTTGCTGGAGCCCCTTTCATCTGTCTGCACTCATGCACAGTGACCACTGGCAGCTCCTAATCCACCCTCTAAAGTTCAGGCAAATGAACTTGCAGTAATTTAACTTGATGGTTTGGTTTGATTAAGCCACATACAAACAACTACACTGACCCTGTATCATATAATGTCCATTGGTTTCTATTTATTTTGCTAAATTATGTCTGCTTTCCAATTTTTGAAACTTTCCACACCAAGTAATACACCTTTGAGCTATTTAAGGAACAAGGAACGTTTACAGGAAAACAAGTGGCTTGATGACAAAGAAACATGTTTATTTTACGCATTCAGATAAACATATATCCAAAGCACACCTGCTATGCCCATGTCCACCTCCCCAAAAGGAAAAAAGAAAGATTTCATTAAAAAAAACATGATGCCTTTACAATTGATGGATCTGTCAATCATGAAAATTTATTCTGTCACTTTGGAAATTGATTCAAAAAAAGGTGCATAAAAAAGAAGTCCAATACATTTCTACACAGTACAGTACCTCTCTAGAGATGAAGCCACCTGCCTACATTTCCTCTGATGGGGAAGGTGGGTACAAGTTCAGAGAACACTAGGAGAGCAATGTGTCCAGATGATGTAAATTGTCATATTCTATCTTCGGATGAAGAACTGGTCAAGAAACCTATGCTCAGTATCATGTATAGGGACTCACTGACAAAAATCACTAGCAGCCATCTTGCATCTACAAGGAAAAGTTGGTCACTGCATTGTGCCTCTGAGAAGTACAGCCCCATGCGAGCTTTCTCAGAAGTTCTTCCACCATGTTCCTATTCAGAGAGAAACACAGGTTAGAGTTGGGTGATATCCTTTATTCAGCCCAACTCTCTTACAGTTGATGCAATGGAGGCCTAGAAAAATGTACTTGCCCAAATTAACAAAATAATTCAACTCCACCACACATTTCTGGGTAACCTAGTGCTAGTCATTGAGCTTTCTGAATTAGTTAAATTGTTCAAAGATGGCAGAGGTCTGAGGGCTTCCTAGGTACCTTCTGCAGCTAAGCCCCAACCTATATTTCATATGACAAAACTCCAGGAGGAATAGAACTAGATCATGGACATTCAAGGGCACATAGAGACATCGGTCAACCCACTACTGTCTCTATCCTAAATCTCAGAGTTACTGGGACCTACCATGTTGTCCATTTGTCTGTTGTCGTCAATAGCTCTCTTCTGCAGGGTCAATTTAAAGAATGATCTGGTATGTGTGCCTTACTGAGGTGAAGGTGTGTCAGCTCCGAGTGATAGCTTTCAGGTTCTAAATGGCCGCCTTCAGATCTCAGCTCTGACCCCAGATCCATGGGAAGCCCAGCAGTGGCACCCGTCATGACCCACAAGTACGGGTCCTTCTAAATCAGTATTTACATTAGGACCCTTCAAGGACTGTCCTTCTTGCAATAGTTTTTGAATCTTGGGATTTTCCATGATTTACCTGAATATTTTCAGCACAGGAAGGTGCCATGAGATGCATCTAGATATCCCTATCACTCATCAGCATCAACAGCTCTCTTCTGCAAGGCCAATTTAAAAGCTTTCTGTTCTGCACAGGCTCATTCCCATGGACATTCAAGGGTGGTCATTTCACTTAATAAATCACATTGAACAAAATTATGGGGGTCTGCTGATTCATACATGAGGGCTTCTACTATCTCACCTGGAAGGACTTCTGCTCTCTTGAGGCAATCTCATATGTGCTTGATCTCTTTCCAGGCCCGACATAACCCAAATGCTCAGTTCACATAAGATGTTATCATTATTAGTGTCTACCTCTGAATTTCAACCTACCACATGCCATTACAGCAAAATCATTTGTTGATGGAGAACACTATGCATACACTTATAAAATGAGATATGAACAGAACACCATGTCATTTTCAATAGAAAGTATGGCTTATTATCTATAATCTTGGAAAAGTGAAAAAAATGAATTTCTCTGGGCCTCAATTTCTATGTTTAGTAAATGAGAGACTGGGTCAAGAAGCATCTAAAGACCCAAAGTTATCACTCTAGACATGCTAGACTATTAAGGCAACTGTCAGGCAGGCTGCAGACCTAGCCAGGTTCTGAATATTTGTATTTTTATTGTTCACCAAGTCTCATTTCATGGTAAGGCTGTGGAATTTTGTTTGTTGGAAGAAAGAACAGCAAAATAAACTTCTCTGCAGCATCTGCATTTCCCCCTCTGGCGCAGTTTAAGGGACATGCTGTTGCATTTCCCATTGGCAGAGGCACTGGCATGCCTGTTTAGGAACTACTATTAGAAGCTACAAAAAACCAGCCAGAGTAAGCTGCCCCAAGTGGGAGAAGGAAGGGCTCTTTCCAGGCAAATGCCAGTACAAAAAAGATGTGGGGGCCTTTGACGGGGCAGGGGTCCTCGTGGCACAGCACTGCTGCCGGCTTCTTGGGCTTCTGCGCTGCAGGCCCAGGCGCAGAGCACCCTGCTAGCTGGCCGCAGTTTTGCGGTTGAGCTTGAAGGAGCCGGTGGCGCCTGTGCCCTTGACCTGCAGCGGCAACTTGTTCTGCACCAGCATGCACTGAGTACTTGAGGTTATTAATAAAGGTGCTATGAAATAATGTAAGACAGGAAAATAATTAAATATTTTTACTGTGGAACCATTGACATTAAGGGATGTGGTCAATGATTTTTCTGAAGAGGAATGGAAATGTTTGGACCCTTCTCAGCAGACTTTATATGGAGATGTGATGTTAGAGATCTGTAGAAACCTACTCTTTATTGGTATGACTTCTAATCAAAACAAAGAATTTTAAAGAGAACAAGAAATTTTTTTTTTTATGCAAAACTTGATAAAGAGCAGAGGCAGACCTGCGACCTGGAGAACAGGCCCAGCGGCCCACCTGCACAGTAGACAGATCACCCTATTGGAGAACGGGCCCAGCGGCCCACCGGTGTGGTACACAGATCACCCCTATTGGAGAACGGGCCCAGCCGCCGCCTGCAAGGTAGGCAGACCGCGCGTCCCGGAGAAGGGGCCCAGCAGGCCCGCCGGCAGGGTAGACAGATCACCCCAATTGGAGGAGGGGCTCAGCCGCTGCCTGCGCCTGCACGGTAGGCAGACCTGCGACCTGGAGAACAGGCCCAGCGGCCCACCTGCACAGTAGACAGTCCTCCCCAGGCGGAGGAGCCCAGCCTCCTGCTGGTGTGGTACACAGACCACTCCAACTGGAGGAGGGGCCCTGCCGCCCGCCTGTGTGGTCACCTGACTGAGCTCTTGACAAACGTAAGGTTTCCCCAACACCCCCACCTCATCAAACACCTTATGAGAAAAACTGATGGAACTCATCTTGGAAAATCCCACCAACCCATAAAACCCACCAACCGGTTGACTGGCGTGGCTACCAGTGCGGTTCTGCAACGGATCAGGAACCTGGTTTACATCTCAGAAAATAAGAGTAGAGAGGCCACAGGTGGAAGCTCAAGTCCTCTCACACTGACTACCACCACCATCCTGAACCCAGAGACTCAAGCCAGGAATAGACAATGCCACCAACTGGAAGAAAAGAAAACAGAGTTCTGAGAGACATTTTTTTTTCTTTTTTTTTCTTTTGTTTTCTCTCTTCTCTCTTTTCAGCCATTCACCCAGTCTCCTCTACCCTTCCCCCTCGGGTCTTCGCAACCTCAACATATGTAAAACCAAAAATTGTGCACGAAAAAGGTCTTTAACAACTGAATCACCAGAACAATATACTATAGAGGAATTGCACATGCCCCACCTCCCTTCCCCCTTTTTATTTCTTTTCCTTTTTCTCGTATTTTCTTTTTCCCGCTCTCTTTTTTCTCTTCCTTTCCTTGTTATTTGTTTTCCTCCCTGTTACTCCTTCTATCCCACTTGCAACCCCCTAAATTTTACTATTCATAAGTAGGGTAATCTTATAAATACAGATAGGAATTTGAATCTATACATTCTTCCATAAATTACCCATCTATTGGTTAGAGCTCTCCAAAGTTACTAAGTTAGATTAACCCCATACCCTCACTCCTTTCCCCATAAACATAACATCCTACACCTGAAATTCAGTTTTCTTCAAGCTACCAGAAAAGGTATGCCTTTCATGAAACTAATTACTATATTTGTAAACGATAATCGAAACCAACATTTGTAGACATAGAATCTAGCTATAAATGCAGTAATAAGGAAACCGTGTGCTTAGATGATGTACTATTGATATTCAGAACTGTTAACATTGTCTTTCTCTACAAAAGGGAGAGTTTGCAACTATACAAGAGCAATATAAATATATAGGGGGAAAATTCAATAACACAACAGTTTCACTAAGCAGTAAGAAACGCGAGCAGTATGAAAAGACAAGGTAAGAAAGGACCACAAACAATGCAGGTCAACTCAACTTTAGAAGAGGTAATATCTGCAGCAGATGGAATGGCAGATAAAGAATTCAGGATATACATGCTTCAGATGATCTGGAGTCTCAAGGAAGACATTAGACAGCAAAATCAGACAATGAAAGATCACTTCAACAATGAATTACATAAACAAATCCAAGAAGCAAAAGATCAACTATACAGGGAGATAGAGGTTATAAAAAAACAAACAAACAGAAATCCTAGAAATGCAGGAAGCAATAAAACAAATTAAAAACTCAAATGAGAGTACTACCAGCAGAGTAGAACACTTACAAGATAGAACATCAGACAATGAAGACAAAGTATTTCAACTTAAAAAGAACATAGACAGCTCAGCGAGACTGTTAAGAAACCATGAGCAGAACATCCAAGAAATATGGGATAACATAAAGAGACCAAACTTAAGAGTCATTGGGATACAGGAAGGTACAGAGCTCCAAACCAAAGGAATGAGCAATCTATTCAATGAAATAATACAAGAAAAGTTCCCAGACTTGAAGAATGAGACAGAATCCCAAATCCTAGAAGCCTACAGGACGCCGAATGTGCAAAATCATAAGAGACCCACACCTAGACACATTATAATGAAGATGCCTAACATACAGAATAAGGAGAGAATCTTAAAAGCTACAAGAGAAAGGAAGCAGATTACATTTAGGGGTAAACCAATCAGGATAACAGCTGATCTTTCAACACAGACTCTGAAACCTAGAAGATCCTGGAACAACATTTTTCAAACGCTGAAAGAAAATGGGTGCCAACCAAGAATTATGTATCCAGCAAAATTAAGCTTCAGGATGGAACATGAAATTAAAACCTTCCACGATAAACAAAAGTTAAAAAAATTTGCAGCTAGAAAACCATCTCTCCAAAAAATCCTCAGCAAAACATTACAGGAAGAGGAAATGGAAAATAACAATGAAAACCAACAATGGGAGGTAGTACAGTAAAGGGGGGAAATAATCAAAGAGGAAAACAAACCATGTTTAGTAACAGAAATAAACAAATATGGCTGGAAGAACAACCCATATCTCAATAATAACCCTAAATGTTAATGGCTTAAACTCACCAATTAAGAGACACAGGCTAGTAGAATGGATCAAAAAAAAAAAAAAAAAAAAAGATCCAACAATATGCTGCCAACAGGAGACGCATTTGATAGGAAAAGACATACATAGGCTGAAGGTGAAAGGTTGGGAAAAATCATATCACTCATATAGACTTCGGAAACAAGCAGGAGTGTCCATACTCATATCAAATAAAATAGATTTCAAGCCAAAGTTAATCAAAAGGGATAAAGAGGGACACTACATACTGCTCAAGGGAACCATACACCAACAAGACATAACAATCATAAATATATATGCCCCAAACAATGGTGCAGCTATGTTCATCAAACAAACTCTTCTCAAGTTCAAGAGTCTAATAGACCACCATACAATAATTATGGGAGACTTCAACACACCTCTCTCACCACTGGACAGACCTTCCAAACAAAAGTTGAATAAAGAAACCATAGAACTCAATAACGCAATTAATAACCTAGACTTAATTGACATATATAGAATATACCACCCAACATCAAGCAGTTACACTTTTTTCTCAGCAGCACATGGATCCTTCTCAAAAATAGATCATATATTATGTCACAGGGCAACTCTTAGAAATTATAAAGGAGTAGAGATAATACCATGCATCCTATCTGATCATAATGGAATGAAACTGGATATCAACGATAAAAGAAGGAAGGAAAAATCATGCATCACTTGGAGAATGAACAATAGGTTACTGAATGATCAATGGCTTATAGAAGACATCAAGGAGGAAATTAAAAAATTCTTAGAGATAAGTGAAAACACAGACACAACATATAGGAATCTATGCGACACAATGAAAGCAGTTCTAAGAGGAAAATTCATTGCTTGGAGTTCATTCCTTAAAAAAAGAAAAAAAAACAACAAATAAATGATCTCACACTTCATCTCAAAATCCTAGAAAAAGAAGAGCAAAATAACAGCAAAAGAAGTAGAAGGCAAGAAATAATTAAAATCAGAGCTGAAATCAATGAAATCGAAATAAAAGAAACAATTGAAAAAATTGAGAAAACTAAAAGTTGGTTCTTTGAAAAAAATAAATAAGATCAACAGAACCTTAGCCATGCTAACGAAGAGAAGAAGAGAGAGAACTCAAATTACTAGCATACGGGATGAAAAAGGCAATATCACAACAGACACTTCAGAAATACAGAAGATAATTAGAAATTATTTTGAATCCTTATACTCCAATAAAATAGAAGATAGTGAAGGCATCGATAAATTTCTTAAGTCATATGATCTGCCCAAATTGAGTCAGGAGGATATACACAACCTAAATAGACCAATATCAATTGAGGAAATAGAAGAAGCCATCAAAAGACTACCAACTAAGAAAAGCCCAGGACCGGATGGGTACACAGCAGAGTTTTACAAAACCTTTAAAGAAGAACTAATACCAATACTTTTCAAGCTATTTCAGGAAATAGAAAAAGAGGGAGAACTTCCAAATTCATTCTACGAGGCCAACATCACCGATTCCTAAACCAGACAAAGACACTTCAAAGAAAGAAAACTACAGACCAATATCTCTAATGAACATAGATGCAAAAATCCTCAATAAAATTCTGGCAAATAGGATACAGAAACATATCAAAAAGATCGTGCATCATGATCAAGTAGGATTCATCCCTGGGATGCAAGGCTGGTTCAATATACGTAAATCCATAAATGTTATTCACCACATCAATAGACTTAAAAACAAGAACCATATGATCATCTTGATAGATGCAGAAAAAGCATTCGACAAAGTACAGCATCCCTTTATGTTCAAAACTCTAGAAAAACTAGGGATAACAGGAACATACCTCAATATTGTAAAAGCTATCTATGCTAAGCCTCAGGCTAGCATCATTCTGAATGGAGAAAAATTGAAGGCATTCCCTCTAAAATCTGGAACAAGACAGGGATGCCCTCTCTCACCACTGGCCAGAGCAATTAGATAGACGAAAGATATTAAAATCATAAAAATAGGAAAAGCAGAACTTAAATTATCACTATTTGCAGTTGACATGATTCTATACCTAGCAGACCCAAAAGGGTCTACAAAGAAACTATTAGAGCTAATAAATGAATTCAGCAAAGTGGCAGGATATAAAATCAACACGCATAAATCAAAGGCATTCCTGTATATCAGTGACAAATCTTCTGAAATGGAAATGAGGACAACCACTCCATTCACAATATCCTCAAAAAAAATAAAATACTTGGGAATCAACCTAACAAAAGAGGTGAAAGACTTATACAATGTAAACTACAGAACCCTAAAGAGAGAAATAGAAGAAGATGCTAGAAGATGGAAAAATATACCCTGTTCATGGATAGGCAGAACTAACATCATCAAAATGGCGATATTACCAAAAGTTCTCTATAGGTTTAATGCAATGCCAATCAAAATCCCAACGGCATTTCTTGTAGAAATAGAGAAAGCAATCATGAAATTCATATGGAAAAACAAAAGACCCAGAATAGCAAAAACAATGCTGAGCAGGAAGTGTGAATCAGGCGGTATAGGGATACCAGACTTCAAACTATACTACAGAGCAATAGTAACAAAAACAGCATGGTACTGGTACCAAAACAGGCGGGTGGACCAATGGTACAGAATGGAGGACACAGAAACCAATCCACAAAACTACAACTATCTTATATTTGATAAAGGGGCTAAAAGCATGCAATGGAGGAAGGATAGCATCTTCAACAAATGGTGCTGGGAAAACTGGAAATCCATATGCAACAAAATGAAACTGAATCCCTTTCTCTCGCCATGCACAAAAGTTAACTCAAAATGGATCAAGGAGCTTGATATCAAATCAGAGACACGCTGTCTGATAGAAGAAAAAGTTGGCTCCGAACTACATATTGTGGGGTGGGGCTCCAAATTCCTCAATAGGACACCCATAGCACAAGAGTTAATAACTAGAATCAACAAATGGGACTTACTCAAACTAAAAAGTTTTTTCTCAGCAAGAGAAACAATAAGAGAGGTAAATAGGGAGCCTACATCCTGGGAACAAATTTTTACTCCTCACACTTCAGATAGAGCCCTAATATCCAGAGTATACAAAGAACTCAAAAAATTAAACAATAAGAAAACAAATAACCCAATCAACAAATGGGCCAAGGACCTGAACAGACACTTCACAGAGGAGGACATACAATCAATCAACAAGTACATGAAAAAATGCTCACCATCTCTAGCAGTCAGAGAAATGCAAATCAAAACCACCCTAAGATACCATCTCACCCCAGTAAGATTGGCAGCCATTATGAAGTCAAACAACAACAAGTGCTGGCGAGGATGTGGGGAAAAGGGTACACTTGTACATTGCTGGTGGGACTGCAAATTGGTGCGGCCAATTTGGAAAGCAGTATGGAGATTTCTTGGAAAGCTGGGAATGGAACCACCATTTGACCCAGCTATTCCCCTTCTCGATCTATTCCCTAAAGACCTAAAAAAGAGCATACTACAGGGACACTGCTACATCGATGTTCACAGCAGCACAATTCACAATAGCTAGACTGAGGAACCAACCTAGATGCCCTTCAATAGATGAATGGATAAAAAAAAATGTGGCATTTATACACAATGGAGTATTACGCTGCATTAAAAAATGACAAAATCATGGAATTTGCAGGGAAATGGATGGCATTAGATCAGATTATGCTAAGTGAAGCTAGCCAATCCCTAAAAAACAAATGCCAAATGGCTTCTTTGATATAAGGAGAGTAACTAAGAACAGAGTAGGGAGGAAGAGCAGGAGAAGAAGATTAACATTAAACAGGGATGAGAGGTGGGAGGGGAAAGGGAGAGAGAAGGGTAACTGCATGGAAATGGAAAGAGACCCTCAGGGTTATACAAAATTACATACAAGAGGAAGTGAGGGGGAAAGGGAAAAAAATACAAGGGGGAGAAATGAATTACAGTAGATAGGGTAGAGAGAGAAGATGGGAGGGGAGGGGAGGGGAGGGGGGATAGTAGAGGATAGGAAAGGCAGCAGAATACAACAGACACTAGTATGGTAACATGTAAATCAGTGGATGTGTAATCGATGTGATTCTGCAATCTGTATACGGGGTAAAAATGGGAGTTCATAACCCACTTGAATCAAATGTGTGAAATATGATATGTCAAGAACTATGTAATGTTTTGAAAAACCAACAATAAAAATTTAAAAAAAATAAAAAGATGTGGGGTCATGGTAGGACAATCAAAGAATAGCTATTCTTTCTTTACTTCTTTTTTTTAAATTCCTCACTAAGCCTGCTATGTTAGTCATCTTTCTGTCACCACAGTAAAACACTGAAGATAATTAACATATAAAGAGAAAAGATCTGCTTGAGCTCACAGTTTATGGGTTTCCAACTTAACAAACAGGAGAACCTCAGGCTTTGGGTCCTAGTGGGTGTGCCAGATGGCAATGCTGGGGAATGCCTGGCAGAGCAAACTGCTGTAATCAAGCCAAGAATCAAAAGAGGAAGAAGAAGAGACAAGGGTCCCACAATCTTCTTCAAGAGTATGTCTGCAGTGACAAGAAGGTCTTCACTAGGGACCATTTTCATAATGTTATTTCGCTCCTAACACTGCCAGCCTGGGGACCAAGCCTTTCATACATGGGCCTTTGGGAAGACATTTACGACCCAAACCATAGCACCTGCTAACAATTCATTAACAAATAAATTTGGACACCAAAACATTACTGATCATGGAATGTGTTCTTGGGATCTTCTCTACTTTTCTATGGATCTTGGGATTTTTCAGTGGACATGGGCTCTGCTCACAGGGTTAACACAAGACAAAAGAAAATCTTTAGCATGCCCTAGACTTCAGTGATAGTTAAGCACCTAACTAATAAAAGAGAAATGTATAATTGGGATGCCACTATCTTTTTAAAATTTTAGTTGTTCCCACCTGATCTACAATAATGAAGGCAAAACAAGGAAGACACTGAGTAACTTGGAAGCCTGGTATCACCTCTGACATTGACAACATCTAGGAAGATCTCCTTGTTTGTTCCCCACGTATTTTATTGATCTTTTGGTAAAATTAAGCCAGTGCATTTCTCTCTGCAATCACACTGCAATGTTTCAGTCAGTATTGATAATAAAATGCTTGCCCCAAATCCTAAAACAGCTGAACCCACATCTACAGCAATGCCCCAAGAGCTCTCACATTTTGCTAGTACATTCTCAAACAGGAAGATGTATCTAATCTAATGCTGATCACATCACACCATTAACCACTGCCAAAATGCTCAGACTTTGTTTTACCTATGAAGAGGTAGTAGGTATATAAACTATATCAGGCTTTTTTTAAAGCTTCTTGCAAACCCTCATAAGTTAACCCATGCATAATTCCCTCCTTGCAGAAACTGCAACACTATCAGGGCAGTATACAGCAGTAATAATAGGGATACCAAATTATAGATAACTCATAATTACCTTAGTATCATCTACAGTTGATATTTTTCTTAACATTATCTCAGAATGTACAGGTTCAAATTCTGCAGAGGTTAAAGTACCTGTTTCTATACCACCAAGGTAATACAGAAACAGTTTCCCAAAGAAGGGACATTCCTTTTTGGTTGGTGAAACAATGTTGAGGAGGAGAGGTACACACAGACACAGTTACAGAGAAATGGATAGGAGCTGTATATTCAAAGAGGCTGTGGCTCACACCAATTAAGTTAGGGTAATTGTCATTCACTCGACTTGATAATTTAGTCCTTCTGAGAAGCAGACATCAAATAGGAAGAGTCGAGGATTTGTGTACAACATGTATTATTGCTATCTACCACACAATTATTTTCTAGGTAACACATTGTTGCACATAAATATATGCTTACATACAGTATGTATGATTTAGGAACATTTATTATCTTCCAGAAAAATTCATGTGCTTATATAGATATAAACAAGACACCCTTAGAAGTACAGAGTAGAATGGCTGTGTCTGGGCTTGGGCAAGGAGGAAATGGAGAGATGTTGGTCAAAGGGTACAAAGTTTCAAATATGGAGAATAAAAAAGCTCCTATAATGTAACTGTAGTGTTTACCTACTATTTACTAGGAGAGTAGATCTCAACTGTCTCATCAAAGAAAGAATCAAAGAATTATAAATGGCATAAGGTGATGGTTATGCTAATTAGCTTCCGATGTACTTCTGCATTGAACTGCTTGCTTTCAGAATCATAATCAGGGAATCCTTTGGTACTATGGGGGATAGACAAGCCTCCATCCACAGCTCCCTTCAGGGCCCCAAAAACTTTATTGCCAGTTGTAGTTCTATCAAGGCCTGCATCCAAATAGCAGGTGAAGGCACCAGGTTGACCATCAACGCTTTCCACACTGTATTCATCTCCAGTCACCTCCACTTGGCCTTCATAAATCTTGTCCATACCAAATCTATTGAGAAGCCTATAGGCCAGCAGCAGGCCAGTACAATATGCTGCAGCATAATTTGTTAGGCCAACTTTCACACCATATTTTGGTGGTTCATGTGCATATGCTGCGCAGACTATCATATCCCCTTCTATACGGGCATAAGCAATCTGGCAAATGATATCTCTGTTAGTTACACAAACTATCATCCTGTATTTGGGTGTGTTGTACTTATTTTTGTCCTGGATCACCAAGCATTTCCGAGCATAGTAATCAGTTTTGCCCTCTTCTTGACAACTTTAAGAAACCCCATCCTGGGGCTGGGGATGTGGCTCAAGCGGTAGCGCGCTCGCCTGGCATGAGTGCGGCCCGGGTTCGATCCTCAACACCACATACAAACAAAGATGTTGTGTCCGCCGAAAACTAAAAAATAAATATTAAAATTCTCTCTCTCTTTCTAAAAAAAAAAAGAAAGAAAAGAAACCCCATCCTGCGGAACAGAGCCCAAGTCCGTGGATCCACACAGACCTGCAGGCCCAACAGCACTACAGGGGAGAAAAGCTCTTCATGCCATTTTTAAGTTCATTTTTAAAAGACATTTTCTTAAATGCTTTGCAGGTGATTATCAAAAAATTAAACAAAAATATTTTATGTCTCTTTTTAATTTTAATTTATCCTAATTCACATTTTTTTAGTTTGTACAACAAATGCTTTGCTATATAAAAGACAAGTGATTAAAATCTCCACATGTTGAACCTAATTGATATTTAGCATAATTTTAAATGAACAGTCAACCTATGACATCTCCTGTCATAACTACCAGAAAAGAAAGGCAAAAGCATCAGATGAGGTGTCCATACAGACAGACCTGGGCAATGGTTATAACCAGCAAGTGACACCAAGACAAGAGATCCTAGTAGAACTGAGGATACAAACTTAGGCCATTCCACAGTGACTGCTCTCCCTCTCTCTATGTATATGTGAGTGTGTATATATACACATATACACACACACATACATAGTATGCATTTATATACCACTGTGTATTTACATATGTGTTTCTATATGTATGGGTCTATATCATATATGCGTGTGTACTCCCCTCATTTCAAATAGTTGAGAATGACCCAGGGATGTGTATAAAAATTATTTTTCTCTCTTCTCACAGAATAAAAGGACTCAGAAATATCTGTTTAGTTCAAGGATATTACAAAAGAAAAATTTTTTCTTAAATATGATCAAGGGTCCAGTGTGTAAAATCAGAGGCTTCCAAATCAACAGTTTAACTAGTACCATCTCCAACTGATAAAAGTACAGACAACATGGATTGTTTTCCCATCGTGCTTGGATTTTGGCCACTTACATTCACATTTCTATAAACAAACATGCTAATAACCACTTAGGAAAATAGCCCAGAGTGATGCATACACACATTTGGGCTGGGGCTCAAATTGCCTATAAGAACAAAGGAAGATGGGCTGGGGATGTGGCTCAAGTGGTGGCGCGCTCGCCTGGCATGCGTGCGGCCCGGGTTCGATACTCAGCACCACATACCAACAAAGATGTTGTGTCCGCCGAGAACTAAAAAAAATAAATTAAAAAAAAAAAAAAAAAAAAAAGAACAAAGGAAGAGGAAGAATGATTAGGAAAAATTTAATCTAAATGGGAATGTATATATGCATTAATTTTATACTTGGAACTTCAATCCCTGTTGTGTTCCTCACCAAAAAATAATGGCCCCATGATCACTTGGTTTTGATTTGGCAATATTCAACTTTCCTTTGATATACCCATAGAAGAATCACAATAAAATAAAATCAGTTAATAAAACAAATCATGGGCCACAATGGGAAAACCCTTTACATTTCAAGTTTTTCTTCTCAGGGTTACTTGGATTTATGTTTAGATAACAGCTACTGATACCAAACACATTTAGTGGGTATCTGCTTTGTCTAAGAAACTTTTCTAGTGTGATGGGAGAGGCTGTAAGAAAAAAGAAACCATCTCAGTCCTAACTCTGCACCTGTGGCCACATCCTTAACCCAAGGTTTCCGAGATCAGATGTCCAGCTCCTTTGAAATGAGAAGTTCCTTAGCAAATTCTTACCTAGCAGAGTAAAAATAAATGAACATACAAATGGAACTGATCACTGGATATGCAGGGGGTGAGTCACCTTCTTTTGCTTCTCTGTGGAACTCCAACATCTGGAAACCCAGAGGTCTCATTCCAAACTGACACACTAGCTCCCTGGGATTCAGTTCCTACAAAGTTAGATTTGTGACAATCCATTCTCTACATTATGTCTCACCATTTATGTGGGAATAAAATTAATTCACATGGAATAGTTGTTTTTTCCCCCCAGTCCTGGGTATTAAAACCAGGGCCTTGCACATGCTAAGAAAGTATTCCACCACTAAGCTATATCCCCAGTCCTTTATAATTTTTATTTTGAGACAGGGTCTCACTAAATCACTAAGGGTCTTGTTCAGTTGCCAAGGCTGGCCGTGAACTTGAAGTCCTCTTGTCTCATTCTCCCACAGGTATGCATAATGTGCCAGGCTCATAAAGGGTTTTTAAAGGTACAATGGTGGTATTGCCCCAGCAGGAAGGGACTGAAGGAGGCAGTCGTGAAATGTCATGCTCCTCCTCTAAAAACCAAGGGAGAGGGGAAGTGCTGTGGAGATGGGATTCCAAACATCAGGAGTGACATACGAATTAAAACAAACAAATAAAAAGTCCTAAATGAATAGAAACAAAAGTCAATAATCAGAAAACCATGAGAATTTCAGGGGCTCAATCATATGCTTCTAAAAGCTAATAATTAGTAGTCAGTAAAGTTTTGCTAGCTTGAAATCTGACAGAGACTAATTCTTGAGAAAGAAGATAGGTGATGGTTGACAGCCCTGGCTCCAGGCTCAGAGGTGTCAGTCAATGTCAATCTCCTCAGCCTCCTTCCTCCCTCAAGTGCAAATGTAGGTAATAATGACTCTTACCTCCTATGCTTGTTTTGAGGATTCAAGGAGTTAAAACATGCAGAGAATGATGCATTCCACTGTCATGTATTTTTAAAATAAAAGCAATTAAAAAAAAAAACAGTTGCAAGAACAGTAAAAAAAAAAAAAATGCAGAGGACTAAAATTGGGCAGACATATGGTAAATCTGCAGATGTGTTAATTCTTTCCATCTCCTTCACCATCAAACAAGAGCAAGACTGGCCAGGACCTGAAAGTTACCTGTTTTCTCATTATCTAGAAGTACGGCCACATTTGCACCTCATTTCGTACTTCTGAGGCATTCCTCATTCAATTATATGTTGACATTCTGGCCACACATTATCTTTGGAAGACAAGAACTGAGAACTCTATGGGTACTCAGAAGAGAACAAGATATCCCGTTGTGTGTTCTGGATGCAGTTTATTTAGTTTTAACTTCCTGCTATATTTTATTTTACTACACTTATTTTACCTTTGCTGGTTATTTTCTTTTGCCTTTTTTTCTCTCTATTCTGTTGTATTCGATGTTATGAATTTTTAAAGTTACTTTAACATCACTGGGAAATAAAATTGATGAAAAATAAAACAGCCGAAAATGAGTCTGTAAAACGACAATTGCTTCTTGTCTTCTGGTACAGGGGTTCACAGACACAAACACATATGCACAAAATAATGAACAGGAAATCAGAACAGAAAGGAGAGGCAGTGGGTTGTGTAACTTACAGGAATGGCAGGTGGCTCCTGCGTAGCCCATGTGAGTGCAGTCAAAGGAGAAGGTATCCCAGGACTGGGAACATTCACCCCCATGTTCACAATAGCTGGACAAACACCTAAAGAAGGACAGACACATTGCTGTTTCTACATTCAGTCATGATAAAATGTGCATCTCACACTAGTATGGTATAGGAAAAGAAGGAGGACAACAATCAACAGAAACATTTCAACAGGACCAAAGACTGTGGAGTCTGTTCTCACCATTTATGTGGGAATAAGATCAATTCACATCGAATCGTTGTTTTTTCCCTTGAGTTATCTCAACTAACCTTCAACCACAAGTTGAGTTGTCTCAACTAACCTTCAACCACAAGTCAGTAAGTGTAGTTCATGCTACTGATTCTCATTATTTTTATCACAGGTAAATTTTCTATTTATCAGAAAAATGTTTTTCTTCTCACAAAAACATGATATTGATTTCATACCTGACCAGGATATAAACTGCTTGCAATGACCATAGGCAGATACACATTTCCCCTCCATCCTTCCACACCCTTGTGATGTGACACTGCAGATCTTTCCATACATAGGCACAGCCTGCATTTCCACCTTGAATCTGAGTTGGGCATGTGACGAACTTTGACCAAAGGACATTTTAACAACAACACAGTATTTAATAATCAGGCACAAAAAGGACAGTTCTCTTTTGTAAACCCCGAATATGTTTCTGGTACGTATGAAGAATGAAGTGGGTTTTTTTTGCCTAAAAGCACAACAATATAAATCAACAATTGATAAATGGTATGGAGTCAAACTAATAAGCTTCTTCTTGGCAAAGTAAACAATTATGTGAAGAAAGAGCCTACAGAGTGGGAGAAAATCTTTACATATACATCAGAGCACTAATCTCCAGGATATATAAAGAACTCAAAAACCTTAACACCAAAAAAATACATAACCCAGTCAATAATGGGATAAGGAACTGAACAGACACTTTTCAGAAGACAGTTGATCAACAAATATATGAAAAAAAATGTTCAATACCTCAGTTACTAGAGAAATGCAAATCAAAACTACTCTAACATTTCATCTCACTCCAGTCGGAATGGCAGTTGTCAAGAGTACAAGCAACAATAAGTGCTGGTGAGAATGTGGGGAAAAAGGTACACTCATACATTGCTGGTGAGACTGCAAATGGGTGCAACCACTCTGGAGAGCAGTACAAAGATTCCTTAGAAAATTTGGAATGAAACCACTGTTTAACCCAGCTATCCCACTCCTCGATTACAGCTTTGTAAGGATAGAAACAGATGTCATTTATCTTTTATTTTTTATTTTTGGGTGGGAGGGCTGGAGATTGAACTCAGAGGTATTCAACCACTGAGTCACATCCCAGCCCTATTTTGTATTATTTTTAGTTAAACACATGGTCTCACCGAGTTGCTTAGCACCTCGCTTTTGCTGAGGCTGGCTTTGAACTCACGTTCTCCTGCCTCAAACTCCTAAATTGCTAGGATTATAGGCAAGCACCACCGTGCCCAGCCAGAAGTCATTTTGTAGCCCAGTGGAGATGTAATCTCCAAATAAAAT